AGAAATTAGTGAAGAATAATTTATTCACAAACAAGCACGTTATAACATCACACTACAGAAAGCAGCATTCAAAAGAAGCAAAATAAGCAATGAACAACAAATGAAAATATGAAGCCAGAAAACTAAAACACTAGCCTTCTATAGCAAAGAACATCTTAGAGCCAATATAGTAATAGAAAATGCAATAATTGAACAGGTTACCACTTCTAAATATTTCGAAATACAATTGGATTGAACCAGAAGGAATAGAAGAAAAAAAATATAATAGAGACAATGGAATAATAAAGAGACGTTTTGGACATATGCGAAAAGGAACAATGATAAAAATTCATAATAAACAATGAAATTCATTTAAATTAATTGAAAATAATTTAGATATTATTTCTTTCTTACAGAAAAAAACACTTAAGACTACTGGAGTACCTAGAAACATTTGCCGTTCTTCGTGCTTAAATGTCCCTTCATTCTTTTACTGTGATTGATATTATTGAGTTGTGTTTAAATATAATTTGTTGCTGCAATGGACTTATACTTTTTGTCTACATTGGATTGTTTTTGCTTTTCAGTGATCTGGCATAGAACAAATGTACAAAGATTAGGTAATTTGCTGCGTTAAATATTTGTACATGTATTTTGTTTATTTTCAATTATTTATTTTCACTTTTAGGATCTAATACGTTTTTAGACAAAAAATAGGATAGAAAATAATAAATAGGGTTTAAAACAAAGTTATGAGAAATTGGACATTCAAATGCCTTTATTAGAAAAAATCAATATAGATATTCTGACTGAAAGGTAACAGAATGATGAAAAATTTAATTTTGCAATTGTTGGAGTTCCTCAATAATTGTTTGTGAGTCACTATTTTGTCAAAAAGAACAAAACACATTGACTTACAAGAGAAGTCGCTAACTGGCTATCGATGTGCAGGTCATGCCTTTATCACAATGGTGACTAAGTTAAAGTTGATTTAGAAGAGGCACAGGATACGATGAAAGTAGAAAGTCAGTCGAAGAGTAATATTGGTGAAATAGTATACAATAAATTACCCAGCATGTTAGATTCATAGAAAATAAGAATACAAAATAAAAGCCAAAAATTACAAAGCATCTCAAATATTAGAATTCAAACGAAGATATTGCCACAGTGTTGAAGTAGTGAACAAGCAAAAAACTTGTGGGAAGGTACTGAGTGGTCCAACTTATGTAATGAATTAGAAAATTATTATAAGTTGGAGAAAAGTTATTTGAAAGGTGTGTGGACACAGATGAGAATTTTGAGTTAATAAGCACAGGAGCTGGAAAAGAATAATAGACAGCAAATGTAATTAATATTGTTTTGGAATTGTTTAGATATTAATGAAAAATAAGAGAACTAATCGAAATTTCATAAAATTTCCATGTGTATAATAAAATAAAATAGACTGGTGTTAAAGACGTATGCAAGAAGGAAAAGGGAGTGAGATGTTTTTTATAAAATAATATTCCACTTAAGTGAAACTTACAAATATAGTTGTTGGACAATTTGAAGATTCCAAGTAAAGTTGTGAAATAATATATTCCAGGCAACAGTATATCCCCAGGGGGCTATAGCGTTTCATACAGGTAAATAAGTTTAATCCCTTATTATCCTCTTTTTAATCTGATAATTTGACGTATAATTATACATTAAATGAAACATAATAATATTTCAACTTAAAATCAATTGTATGTAAATTAAAAATTCAGAGGAAAAGCAGGTCCAAAAAGTAGTTCCCCCCCTCCCCGCATGCTTTACGCTGCATATGCATATTATTCTAGGAATAATACTGCAACCATGAATGAAATAACAAACAACAAACAACTTTTAGCAGACCATGGAATGTTAATTGCTTATAACCATGTCACTTACACAGATATTATATTACTGTTGAATTGGTACTACTCTTAATATTATTATTATTTTTATTACTATTTTTTATTATTATTATTATATTATTATTATTATTATTATAACATCCAAGATGAACAGGGGTGTCCAGAGAAGACAAAGGCCTGAGTCTTTAGATCCATGGAGGCTCCTTATTTTGAGGAAAAGTTACCCCCTCCCTACATATATATACATAAATAGAATTTATCTCTTCATGCAACACAAAGAACTTGTAGCTGTTAATTTAAATTGAAAGTAAATTATTCTTTTTGTGTTTTAAATGAAAAAAGTTTCGGTGCCCTGACTTAAATTGAGGCCTGGCCCCCACCACACACACAAACACCACATCACTCCCTTTGAGCAACCCAGGATATGAACATTATATTAGACTGAGACATAACATTGAATTTTTTTAGTTTTTCTGAAATGTAGGGTTATTAACAGATTGAACAGATTTTGCAAATGTGGTTCTCTCATTATTTTGTCCCATTATTGGAGTTATAGAAGATATGACAAGTTCTTTAAAATATGAATAAATGAAAGAAAGGATTATGAACATTTAATAATGATATTAAAATGTACCAATAAGATAATGGAGTTGTAATATTTTGAGCACTATTTATACCCTAGTTAAAAAGGGAAAGAGTTTTCTACAAGACAACAACAAAACTTTCTTTATGTAGGGTACAAAATTGGTTGGCAATTTTTTTGAAAAATTAGTACTTCCGTGGTACCTAATTTTTAAAAAAATTTAACTGTCTTCTGTAGAATTCAAAATACATTATTGAACACTATAAGAACATAATTCAAAACATTGTGCTTAATATAGAAGTTAAACAATGATACAAGTTAGTAATAATTGATGTAGCCATGTACAATAAAATAGTAGCTTTGAAAGAAAGAAGAAAATTGAAAGGTCATTAGAATTATATTCACGAAGAACTAGAACTAGACAAATGTATTATCTGTGTACAATTTAAGAGAGATCCAAACAATTCTCATTACTTAAAAAAGCTGTTGTGTATCAAATGTTCGCTATTAAAAAGATACTATAATTTACTACATATTCTTCACACAAAAAAAATATATTTTTGAGATGTACCTAATAAGGACATGATTAGAACATACAAACAGGATTTGAACTTCATGAAGAAAATCATTCAAATTGTAAAATAGAGAAAAATTTGCTAAAGATGTCGGTTATGATTTTTGCAAATTAACTAGTGGTACTACAACCACTATTTTGTCACATTATTTCTAACTTCCTTGTTTTCGAAAATTCGGTGAGTTCAATGACAGAGAGACCTGTGCCATTTTGTTCTTTGTTCTGTCAGTGAAAAGAAGTTAAAGAAAAAAATTGTAGCCGCTTTTGAAAAAAGTTTTAATAATTTAAATCAACTTCAAGCAGAAATTATGTGAGAACTACTTTTTCTCTTTCAAAAAATTGTATAAGACATTGCTTAAATATCTTATGTTTAAACAAATTTCATTAAGGCAAAAACCTCTATGTTAAATATTGAACACCCCCCCCCACACACACACACACACTTTCTCGAAAGTACGGAGAGTTTGCTGAAAATGTACCTAGCGTCAATTTATTTTCCGACCTGAAATGGCGGCTTTAGCATACGAGGACAAAATTCAAAGAAAAATCTGGAGCCGTTTTCGGGAAAAATTGCGTATATTTCTCCTAAAAAGTACGTGAAAAGTACTCGTAATTGCGAAAAACATTTACATGACAGTGTTTCAAGATCTGTGTGAACAACATTATATTTAGAAAAAATATATATATGTATCTTCAATATTGTAGTTACAGGAATGTGCCGAAAAAATGTTGAACGTTTACAATTTTCGAAAAATCAGGGATTTCATCGAAAACGAGACCCATTCCATTTTAAAGCGTTCTTTACGCTGTCCGAGGACAAAGATTAATTTTAAGAATTGTAGCCATTTTTGAAACGATTTCGATAATGTTAAGGCTTCTTATATAGGACCCCCAAGAATCAAAATGTAATTTTCAAACTCGCAGAGCCTCGACCGACATTCGAGGAAAAAGGGGAAATACCAGCGCATTGGGGTCATCTCTCGGGTGAGACGTAGTCTGTCCCATGAAGGTACTCTAAACAGCATTCGCTTCTATCAAACATATCTGGTAGTAGTATCTTCGGTTATTTCATATTTTCACTTTTACAGTATGTGATTATCAGACTTTTTCATTTATAAACACAAAATCAAAAACAGAAGAAAAAACAAGTTAAAATATTGGCTGTGTATCATAAATGTTTAGAATTATTACTTAAAACATCGATGTATCTATACAAGCATCAATGTTTTGAAAACATCCACAGTGATGTCGCATCCCTAGTTCCACTGTGAAGCTATTTTAGCAATTTTATACAACAAAGTATAAGTTTATACTTAAAGTACTGTCGAAACATTAAATCGTGTTAAATCATTACATTCTTCCTTTTATGAGTTATCTATTGCTAGTGAGAAAAATACTCGGTTCCATTTAAAAAGTCAAAGATGATTAAATTTCGGGAAAACTAAAAATATTTCAAACCCTCTCCACGCCATAATTACTTACTCCATGACTCCGCGTTGTTGACATAGAGTAGAGGTATATTGTATCTCCTGTACGATTATTGAGCGAAAACTGCATATCGTGAACCGTTTAGAACATATATACTCTGGTTTAGAAGTTATATGGGTGGCCATGGAACTCCATTTTGTATAATATGCGTGTACCATAATGAGGATAGTTTCACAAATTTGTTATTAAATATCTGTACTTTCTGACCTCAACGCAATAATGTATTTTCTTCATTAAGTCGCAAACCTTAATGGAAACGTGCCCAATTAAATTTTGTGTATTTAAAAATATGATTTAATGCATGAAAATTTGTAAACAGTAGAAAAGTACGATAATTTTGTACGATCTTCTAATTAAGTTATAATTTGATACTATTAAATGCCAATGTACGATATTAATATAATGGTGCAGTACGATACTCGTATTCATTTTTTGTCTATTTGGTAATAATTCTTCCACGTACGAGAGAACTACAAATAATATTTTCCTCTTTTTGCAGATGATGCGTTTACCGAACGCATTTGAGTTTTTGAAAGAAGAAAGGGATGCAGATGGAGAGGTAAGAAGTAACTATGCTACAGAGAATAGATTTGTAGTCTTGATGAGTAGTGCCAGTGATCTCTATACTAACAGTACACAGATCAGTGTGAGGTGCCATGAAAAAAATTTAATGTGTAAGTTAGGTTTGACCCTACAAAATTCCCTTTTCTTCAAAATAAATAGTTTTGTTTATTGAACAGATGGCTTGTTATATCTTGTATACAATATTTTTTACAAGACCAACTACTCCACAGATCTTCAATATTGAAGGTGAATTTTATGAACAAGGCGGTCCTCGAAGCGCAAGCTTTCAGAAGTTCTGTGTAGTAACTGTAGTTCTTCGGATCGGAAATATTTAAAGAGATAAATTAGTTTAGTAGTTACGAGGTAATTATATTTCAAGTGCATTAGTTTGGATAATTTTATTGGTGAAATAAGTATTGTCATTCACGTTGTGTACTGGTTGCAAATTGTGGCAACGCATCATATCCCTCAGTGTTGAAATTTTGTGAAGAAAAAAAGCTAAGACATGAGTGAACAAACACCGTCTCATCTTCGAAGTGAATGGAAAAAAAAATGAAAAGATGATCTAAATGGAGAGCAGCCCCCTGAACTGCACGTCAAGGCCTACTGCAAAACGGTATTTGTTTTAAAATGCGTTACTAAGGAGATGTTTATTTATATTTGCAGTTGTTATGGTGACATGCTTCATGTGGTGATTTGTTATGGCAAGTTTGCTAGTGAAAGTGCAGGTCAGTACAAAACTATTCTCTTTAAGTGAAATTCTTTTAAAACTGAAGGAGGTTTATTTAAATAGCGAGAGCGGAGGCGCGAACGCAGCACGTTAGATCCGTCGCAACCCATAGGGTGTAAAAATGTGTTCTTTTTAAAATGGCTTCCTGTTGAAAAGACATTGCCCGAGAAAAATTTGTCATCAGGTTTTTATTATTAGTTAATATACAGAAAATGACTTATGTTACATCATTTGGCAGGTAAATATAGTTTCCCGAAATTTAATTGTTAATTTCTTCACTTTTTCTACGTCTGTGAATGTTTTTATTATTAAGGATCGTAAAAAATCGTAAAGGACGTATGGGGGAGAGTATAATCTGCGCACGTTTTCTTCAGCTCTAGAATCATTTCCCCACCTTTTTAATACGCTTAGTTAATTGATATAGGTATTATTATCGCACGTTTTCTTGAGCTTTGAAATATCTACCCCACTCCTTTGCCAGCATTATTTGAATTAAGAATAAATTATACTAACGTGCATTGTAGATAAAATATAACCAGAAATACTTGCTCTCATGTAATAGAAACTATTTTGCATCGATAAACGAACACAAACTTTGATATAAAATAAATATATTTGGTCAAAAGACCAAACTCCCTACTCTTCTCGCAACTAGCGAAGAGAAGGCTCAAAAAAATAAATAAATAAAATAAAAACGTGCGCAGATAATATCAACAAAGCGCGTTTAGAAATGTTAAATGTTGCTTGAGATTTGGAAGCCTAGAACTTTTTGCCCCCGAGATATGAAAAACATATTTGCATCAGTGAAATACTGCAGATTTGATTTTATATTATTGCTAACAAAATAGCAAGCTACGCCTCCCGGCTCTACCCGTGCATCAAGTAGAGAAAGGAAGAGTTCAACGCAACGTTCGTGTACTATTCGTGTTTATCAAGAAGAAAACTTAGGGTTAATCTTAGAATTTGCTCAATGGACGAGGAGAACTTTGTCAATGAACCTGATCGAAATGGGGATAATTCACCTAGAACCTGAAGTACATTATATATTGCAAGTTTATTTAATCTTTTGAAAATATACAGTATAAATGTGAATGAATACATTATACAACATTGTTAAAATAAATTCTCAAAAGACAAATGAAAAATGTTCAAACATAATATTTGAAGACTTGAAGTAAAAAAGAATGTATGTGCCATTTCTGTAAAATTGACGTTTTTACCAGATTAATGATAAATGATTCAAGCCCTATAACATAAGAACCAAAGCCCACACACATTTCTTGACAATGTTGTGAGGTGATTATAGATGGCAGGAAGTGTATTTGCCAATAGCTTTAACGTACGAGTATAAAGCGATTAAAGTACCAGCGCTCCGAAGTGTCGGTTTAATCAATTGTAGGTTGTGAGTCACTAGCATTAAGTGAACTGGCTGCTTGAAAAGGTTATGTTTACTGGTGTTCTTGTTCTCACATTTTGTACAATGTCTGAACTCAGTGATAATAAACAACGTAGGAAGGGCATCTGATGAAAATATTCAGTTGCGATGTGCAGGAGAAGAGTATGCGAATAAAATCAGAGGCATTGTTTCAGCTAAAGAAACGTGGAAAGAACTTGCGTGTTGTAAATATAAATATTTGTGTAAATTCTTATCTTCCTTACAAAGAACGCTACTGTATCAAGATCTGTATAAAGTAGATTATGGTAAGGAACAGAATTATTTATTTGGTGTCATTCAGTAAAAAAAGTTATGAGGTGAAAGAATGGTACTTATAATGATCTGTCACAAAGTAGGCGACATACAACTGCAATATTCACTGTGCCTAAGGGCCTGGGCGAACTCGTTCAACTAAGCAAGCAAATTTTCTCTCTGGCATCTAAGAGACTCCACAGCTACATATAATCCCATGAACATTGAGAAGATATGGGAGGAAACAGTGGTGCTAAAATAGTACGCACTTTCCTCTTATTTTCACGCAAAATTATGCGAAAAATTGTATATGACCTTATTTGAAATCGAACAGCAAACGAAGTAGCATCTTGTGTTCTTCAAATTATTAAAAAAGGATGTCTAGCTAGCAAGTGTTTAACAGATTGCAGCGACAAGCACTGGACAAAACAAGACAGATGTTTACAGTTTTTGTGTTTATACCTTATAACAACAGGCATACGTGACGAAATCTAACACAAATTCATAGTAAGAAGGAATTCCTTTCTAGATTGTGAACGTGATTTTGTTCTTACAGAGAAAAGGAAACATGTTTTACAACACATCGCACCAGCAGACTTAAAATGTATGATGAAGGTATAAAACAGAAGAACCATTTTGCTGTGAATGTTTTGGAGGAAAATAACTTCTGAGAAAATTCTGCGTAGAACCAAACTAGAGATATTTAAAGCACAATGGTGGGAAATTTCTGCTGCAAGCCCGGTGTGGTTCAAATCAAGAAAACATTCCACATCGTACTGTAGAATATTGACTGCAATGTTTCTGCGGAGATGTAACTAACGACATAATAGCAAATTATTATGTTTCATAATTACCCTGGAGCTGCAATTTCTCAGAACGAAAGGGAAAGGATGTGAAGAGAAAGACTGTGTTCCTTCCAGAGAAACAGCATAGAATTTTTTAAGAAGACCTAACTGCTGAATGAAGAAATATTGGAAATAAACATTTAATTCACAGTAACGTTCTTCTCCATTACAACATTTTCATGTTTGTGTTTCTAAAGAAGAAGTGACGATATAAGGGTACTATGGCTCTTTGATTACTTTTTATGTCAATTAGTTTAGCACTTTGGGTGTACAAAATTGTAACATTGTGAAAATATTTCATTATTAAACTACTGACCTATATTATTGTTTAACTACTCGTATTAATGTAAAGGAGTTTCATGTCTAACAGAAAAATTATAAGCTTATTTTTCTTCATATTTTCAAGTGAAATATATATAAACTAATTTTTCTTGAAAGTATCCAAATAACTCATCCTTTTTTATTTCAAGCCTTTTTTTTTTATTCCATTATATATATATATATAAAAGGTTATGTACACAATATTTAGTAAATTAATTATTCACACGATCAGATGTAAAAAAATTGTTGTCACATTTTGTAAATAAATAAAAAATTATGCCAGTCATCAAAAACAATTATAAGAAAAAAGATATCCTTTTTTTTTTTAAATTCGCAATTTCAATTTCCATTTTTTGAACACATTATGTGAATAATTAATTCGTGAAACATAAAGTACCCAACATTATTTTTCATATACGATGGAATACATAAAAAAATATTTCTTGCTTAAATATTAATTGACTGTCTTTAAATAAAAAAGGATTCTTCTCTTTTTAATAAATATTGTTTTCTTTTTTGATGGTCAGTATAGATTTTAATTGAATAGGTACAATTATGCACCAGAAAAGATTTTATTTGCCACCTAACGAGTGTGTAGATTTTAGTTGTTCAGTGTCATTTGGCATTGTGTTGCAAAGTAACTTAAACGTATTATATGTGACTCCTCATGTGATTCCTACATGTGTTGAAATTATAAGTACATTGAAACTTAGATAACTTGAATTTCTATAAATCCAAAATCTCTATAAGATTCTGGTTTTTCCATTTCTCCCCATCAGTCATACACACCAGTCAAACTTTGTGATGTTGAAAAAGTGTAAAGTACCATCGCATAAAATGATCAAAACTTTGATGTGTGTAGAGAAAGTGAAAATTATCGAAACTTTTACTTGAAATGTAAAAATGAAAAAACCTACGTACAGCAAAACAACTGTAACTTGGAGAGCTTTCCATTTCCATCAGTATTGCATGAAAATATGTTCCCAACCTTAAGTAAGTCAGTTTTGTCAAAAACTGCAATGGACAAATCTTTTTTTCTGCAACCCCAAAGGTCTGGGTACTCTTGAATGTGCTTCCCCAGAATATTATGCCATATCTCAAGTAGAAATGTACATTCACAAATTTCACACAATGAACTGCATGAATGTTGTCAGAATTCGAAATTCATAATTTGAAAATGATTAATTATTTTAGATCGAAGTTCATGGTTAGTGAAAACATTTGTTTTCTTTTAAATGGAAAATAGTTCCATGTGCATCATAAAATGTCAAAAATTATGAAAGATGCCTCTCTCACTCTTTTGGTTTTTCAAACCTGCTGCAGTATCTTACAGTGAAACTCAATAATATAAGGAAAATCTTGAAAAGCTTAAGCTGAGAATTTTCCTAAGTGATGAGAAGTGGTTTAAGTGAGAGGAAATGTTTATCACAGTGATTATCAATCATTCATGTCAAGTTTTAAACTCTTCGTGGTATTCATGAAAGAAGGCTGTGGTATTTTCATTAAAAGAGATTATAGTGTCTGAAATGATTGTTCCATGAACAAAATCAGTTTTAAAATTAACAGTAACCTATAAGTATCTGTGATTGTTAGTTGTAAATTTTCTAGGCCAAGAGATGTTAGGGGAGCAGATTTTTTAAATGTGACAGAAAGTGCAAACTGAATAATATTGTAAACCACCTGGCAGATTTCCATAATGTCCCACACCGAAAAAGGCAAATTATGAATTAATGATTTTTAAAGATACCTTAGTACTGAATATTGAAGTCAGTTTGGAAAGAGTTGAAAAAGTGAAATTATAATACAGAGATACAACATGTTTGGGATGTTTTCTTATTCACACACTTCAACTGCCACAATGTTTGTTTCTACATTTAGTTTTGTGGAATGTAGTTGGTCTTGGTTTTTCACGGTAATATTGGAAGAAACTGTTAAAGTACTGAAAATAATAATACTACCTAGAAAAATGTTTCTGAAAAAACCAAGTTACATCTCAATAATAAACAAAGTGAAAAACAATTTCAAAAGAACCTGCAGAAGTGACATTCTAATTATATTATTTTTATTAATAGTAACTATATTCTTATTATTATTGTTATTATTATTATTATTATTATTATTGTAGTAGTATTTCCTATTAAGTTTGCTATTTAACTCATTAGACAGATCGCATTTGATGTGATCTTTACAGATGAAAAGTGTTTACATTTTTAGAAAGGTTTAATGGTAACATATGCCACTTCAAGATTTGTGGCAGTTTACAGATGTGTATCTTTTAAAATTGGCTAGGTCAAATAGACCCCCATGGAATTACATAAGGGTTAATTAAGTAATTACAATTCTATTGATTGTATGTCATACTTATATCGGTAAAAGGTTCTGCTTATTTACAGACAATCAGGTTGTATTCGGGAATCGGTCACAACAAATAAAATTAAAACACACAAATTTGGTTTATTTCACCATTCAGTCTTGGAACTACAGTGTTTCGGTGATTGTTGCATTTCCCATCTTCTGACACAGGTCTTTGACTAAAAATTCAAATTAAATACTTAAATATTTAAAATATTTTTAGTTTAGTACAATCATTGTAAAAGGAAAAAACTTGTGCAAGCAGAAAGCAATATCAATGAAAGCTTACCTTTCAAAAATATTTTGTATTATTTGTGAAATATGGATATGAACCATAATATTTCATTGAAATAATTCTAGGATTGAATAAATCAAATTCACACCTTTATGACGCACAGTACAAAATCACATTAAAAAAAGGTTTCAATTAGTCAAGCATTTACTTTGCACTCTGGAGTTGGTTTTGGAGTGTACAATGACCAAATACTACTGCCAGGTATAGTTCTTTCACTGGGCTTACGAAGCAAATAATGAAAGCAAGAAGGGGTGGGGATAAAATGAACAAAGGGAGGGAGAGATGGAGACAATGATGGAAGGGGGGGGAGTAACGGGGTTGAAGATGAAGGAAAGAAAAATAATTCATTCGAGATATTAGTTGATTCTGTACAATATATTGTAGTATATATTGCTGAAGTTGTTGGATTCTAACATTAAATTTGTAGTTTTGTTTAATCGAGTGTGTAGTTTGTTTGATTTTGATGCCTTTGATTTATTTAGTCAAAAAACTGTATGTGAAGTATGGGGGAAAAGATTATCTGCACAGGTTTTTGAAAGTTCCAGAATCCCTTCCCGACATTTTAACTACATAGTTGAAAGATGAATAACAGTTTAAAAATAATAATAATAATAATAATAATAATAATAATAATAATAATAATAATAATAATAATAATTTTAAAGCCTGAGATTAGCAACATTTGAAGAACTAGATATTTTTGACTTTCACTGGAAGTAAACCAACTCCAGATTTCATTTTTCTCCATTGCTAACAAAATAGTAACTCACCCCCACCTCTACTCCTACTAGCCTTTCAAGAATCTTAACCCTGGTACCATTACTGACCAATTTTATTAACAATCTATTCATATCTATAGTTTAAATTTTCCTTTTTAAATAAAGAAAATTTTAACGATACAGATCATTCCTCTTTTTTCTGTTCTGTTATCATCTGTAACACTTTTTCTGTAGAATTTCTTTATATTCAGATTGATTAGACCCAAAATATTATTTTATATGATGTAAGAGCACTTTGTGCTAAATAAATTAATGCATTTTCCCAACACAAGGAAAAATTTGGATTGGTCTAATGCTTCGATGATTTGCATAAATGTATTGAAAGAATACAGACCTGTCTACATATTAAGTTTGCTAAAAACAAAAACAAAAAAATGTAATCAATGACAAAGGTTTTTAAATGTGTTGAAAGCAAGAGGGGAGGGAATATAAGAGATAAAAACCCGATGAATTAATGTTCTGAGCACGTATGCATATTAATCCCATTTCAACAGAAATCTCAAGTGAGAAACATTTGAAAAACAAATGCAATATAAATAATTATATTTCATTGGACAGTCATAATATTTTGTATTGTAGTCATTTGTTACTTATTTGTATAGTAGTAGAATAAAGTCACATTAATTTTTCTCTTTTTTGACACAGGATTCCGTTCTAGCCAGCTCTTCAGATGAAACTTCAACAGACACAGGAAGTTATCTGAGTGAGTAGCTTGCCAGGCTGATCTTGACTAAGGATGGCATAATTGCCCAAAATTAAAATTAGAATCATATAAAAATTAGAAAATTAGAAGCTAAATCCTGTTTGTGATATAAATTATATAAAATATACCAGTACGTTGATTATTTTAAGAACTTTTTCTACTTGTTAGTCTGATTTCTTTTAACATTTTCTTCTTATGTTATCCTTGTTCTTTTCTGATATACAATAATGTATTATAATATTTGCCCTAAGTTGTTTTTCCAACCTACTAGTCATTTTAGGCGTAAAAATCGACATCAAATTTTAATATTACAATAATTCTTTTTCCTATATTGGGCTAAGAGACGCAAGCTCATACAATGTTTTGAAGATATTTTCCATTTTTTTTAGCATTCTCAGTGGTCTTGCTCAGCGCATTGCATCTACACCGGATGGCGAGGCCAATCGCGATCAAGCTGATACAGTACTCGTATTACTCGCACCCTCTATATTGCATTAGTTCACCAAGTCGTTTGCATCCGAAAAAACTAGACTTCTTGGGTGGTTTGTTGCCGTATGTTTACCGATTTCACTCTTAAGCGCAAGCTTCTGGACGTTAAACATCGCTTAAGATACGTTAAATATGCCCCTGTAACTTCAATTACGTCGTGTTTTCCTTTGGATTCTCGTTACTATTAGGTTCACTTCGAAATACGAAATAAAATAACATTTTATATAAGTTACAGTAGGTGTTGTTTTCTTTCGTGGATAAAGCATATTATTAAACATTTATTCCGATTCTCATAGAGTGTATGATTGTATTCACGTGTTATAAATTCATTGCTACTTGTTTTTTTAGGTTTCCTATTTTGTGCGAAAGGTGCTTGTTAAATTGGTGGCGGTTAAGATTCTTAACAATATTTGGCATTTGTAATAGAAGGCTGTTTCATAAAGTGATGTGAAATAAATTATCATGCTGTGTGTCATAAATTGTATTGATGATCCTTGACTTTCTCCTTTCACTCTTTTAGCTTAATTGATAGAAATGCTATGTACTCATTCAGCGCGTTCTTAAAAAAATAAACAAAGATAGGGATTTTTCTTCTGAAAACGAAGCCGTTGAAAGTTGTTAACATTGTGACATTGTCTCTGGCTATCACATTCACAGAGCTTTTTTATAGAATTTAGTATTTTTTTCCTTTTATTAGTACATTAAATTCCCTACTTATAGGAGCATCAACTGTACCGAATCATCAGGTTGATATTTTCCAATTAGTCCAAATTATTGATCGTATTCCTTGTAGAAACGTTTCCTGAAGTCAGAAACTTAAATCTTTAATTAGTAGTATCGAACTTGTCTGCTTCGTTATCACTATTACACTCATCAGAAGCCAACTCTGAACCAATGGTTGAGAGCCAAAATGATAATACTGATCTAGAATAATCCCGTTGGCACCAAAAATAATATTTTTCGTAGTCGTTCTAACTAAAGTCGTTGGTATGTCCAACACACTAGTGACTACATCCCTTGCCAACTAAACATGTCTATATTATGTTATGTGACACTTCCATTTTTCAGATGTAACTTGCCCTCCTTTGCTTCTGCCCGTCTCTAACGAAGACAGCGGCCACGAAGGTAGTCCAGATAATCCTGCAAAGTCGGGAAAAAACACAAGCGGCATTAGGGTAGAAGAAAGCATATCTAAAGGCAAGTATGTTTTCAGTCTAATTGGTGATAAGTTCTCTTAACGTACGGTGGAAAGACATGAGTGAGCTATTGCGCACCTGTTTTCATCACAATATTAGCGGGGATTTTAAATACAGAAGATACCAAAATCACAAGTTAGAGTTTAGTTGTGAGTTTCATGTGATCCAGTAAGTTTCATGCTTTGGGATTTAAAAAATGTCCACCAAGCTGCTTCTAAAATTGTGCATGTCTATGCTGAATATTTTCTCAGATAATAGGTCAAATGTAGATCCAAATAAACTTGTGAGAGATAGGGCCTTATGTTTTCCCTTAAGCAGCTACCAATGGGCAAACAAGTCGATCGCATAGGGCGTAAACCTTGGGCGGCGCAATTGTGGTACATTTTTATAATAAATATTTTATTTTAGTTTATTGATATATATTTTTTTAGAAATATTATCGATTTCATTTTTGTTTATCTTGATAATATAAACAATAGTAAGTAATTGTGTACATTATTTCTCTAAATCAAGTATGAATTATCTGGGAGCGCATTATTGTTCTATCATTTGCGGAAGGGGGCTCAAATATATCATTGTATCTGGGGCCCGAAATAACGTAGCGCCGGCCTTGCCCTTACATGTTGTATTACTTTGTTCACAGGGGCTGGGAGAGACTTCTCTTTGAGCAAAGAGAAACCAGACGAGTCGGACGAGGTGTGTATAATCGAAGAACGCATCTGCGAAAGGCACTGGCGGAACGGCAAAGGGCGCGTCGCCGGGACGTGTTGCTCGTGGCATTTCAAGTGTTCCATCTGCGGCACATCCTTCTTGAGGCGTTGCGACTTCCTTCGGCACGTGCAGGAGCACATGGCGGGGCGGCAGACGGACCGCTGGCAGCTGTATGTGAAGAGGTCGCGTTTCAACCGTAGCGTGCGACCGTCGCATGCGACCGAAGCTGCGAGGCAAGAGCCGGCCGAAAGGATGGCGCCCACGTCGTCAGCAAGGCTTCAGTCGCGCACGAAGGCGGTCGTCGAGAAACGTAAGCGCGGGCGTTGCCCATCGGTGCACTTGGACGACGAGGGCGACGCAGAAATAGTGGAGACAGACGGCGGCATCGCGCCTGAGCAGCCGGTCCCACCGCGACGGAATGTCGCAGAGGACAAGTTGGGAAACCCACCTGCCGGCCAAGGCGTCGAGAACTTAGGGGAGAGAAAATTACTGTTGCTCATCGAGCGACTTCCGTCGGTCTTCCTGAAGAACGCTGGCATTACAATACCGCGTTCCGCCGAAAGCGAGAAGACTAGTGACCATGTATTGGGCAAGGAGCAACCCCAGTCGCATGCAGACAAACGTCGTCCGTATCCTCGTCGTCCCTCGCGAAAACCGCACGCCAAGTGCGGAAGCTTATGTGGCAATATGGACGCCGTTAACGAAGTCCCACCGAAGACGCAACTGCCGGGTACTGGAGGTCGCAACTTGAAAAAACGGCCCTCCACCAAATGCACGACGAGCAACGTGGAGTCCGGAAAGAAGCAACACCGACCGCGAAAACAGGTGGTAGTGAGAACCCGTATATTTCGCAAACCTCTCGCTAGTGGAGGAGCTACGAACAAGGAAGTCGAAAAGATAGTTTCGAATCCCCAATCGAACAAGGACCCACACGCTGACAGCGTTACAATGCAGAAAGCTCGCCCTTTGGAATGCGCGACTGCCGTCCCTGAGGCCGATAAGGAAATATCCACGCCGAATCCCCAGTCGCAGGTACAGGTCGATGTTAGACGTCTGACCCTGCGCAAATCGCAGGCAGAAAGAACCGTGTCTAACCGCACGAAGTCCATGAAGAATGTTTCGTCCAAAACGACACTCCAGTCGAACAAGCCGCCAGAAGGTCGCTCGACACAAAAAGAACTCGCCGCCAAAGGGCTCTCAAGGAACGTAGAAGCCAGTGAGAAAGTTATGTCCAAAACCCCAGACCAGTCACATGCCCACAACACCTCTGGAAAACACACTCTTCCCCAAGCACATAAGGGCAACAGTGACGCCTCTATCAGCTCAGGGATCCAAGAAAACATATTGCCATGTCTCATTGTCCGAGTCGAACCACAAGCTACCTTAGACTTTGATAAATCTGACGCTAAAAGCAATTTAAAAAGTTCCACGAACAAAGAAGTCTCTAAGACGCAAGCTCAGTCGCCAACGATTGCTACTGGTCCGGGAAGTACAATTGTCAAACCCCAAAGCCCCTTTTCCAGCAACGTAGAGACCAGAAAAAGAGGTCAACGTGCTCGCCAAGCAGAAAGCGATGGGATTGCAGAGGGCATAACGGCCAGTGTGGATAAAGGACCTGCAGCTCCACTCCAGTCGCAGACACAGAAGTTACGTGCGTTTCGCAAACCGCGGTCACTCGGCACCGCTTCCAACCAGGTGGCGGTCGGGCAGGCACCGCTGAACACTCGATTTCAGTCACGCAGGCGTACTTTGGAAAACCTCCAACTAGAGCAGGTCGTTGCGGAGAAACGCCCACCCCAGAAACACCCAGGTGACTGTTGCTTGTTTACTAACGTGGAACATCAGGAGGAACCGCTGGCCAATGGTCTAATAGAGTCGGATACTTCGAAGCGTACGTTCCCAGACCAGACGTCGCACGTTGGAGGAAGTGGCGAGGCGAAAGATGAAGCCTCGAGCAAGAAGCCACTCCAGTTCCGCCCCGAAAGAGTGGGTGTACTCGCCACTCGCAAGAGACGCGCGGGCGGTTCGAAAAATGGCGAGTTACCCAAACTAGATGACGCAAAGAAACGCGCGTGTCCGGTGCCGTCAACGAAATCGGATGTTAATTCAAAGAAGGATGCAGACAATGAAGTTCCGCCCAAGATCCAGCGCAAGTCGCGTGCTCGCTCTGCTTCACGGAGCCAAAAATATCAGACGTGCTGCAACCCCGCGCCCAGCACCGCAGACTCTCAGGCAAAACCGATTGGTACGGCGGATGAGTCGCATATGCAACCAGCCGCTACGTCCCATGTGGTTAGTGCCCGAAAGTCGCATGCCACCGATGGGGGAAAAGAGGCCGCCGACCGACTAACGACGCCCAAGACCCGCCTCCAGTCGCACATGCACGCGGACGTGGCGAACGGCACCTTCCGCTGCTCGTACTGCAAGGCGACGTTCCCCGACGTGGAGTCGCTGCGACCGCACGTGGAATCGCACCGCTACTGGGAGGAGACCTTCCACTGCGAGTTGTGCCAACGCCGCTTCTCCACCCGCGGGTACCTCGCCATGCACATGCACGCCCACCGGCGCGGCAAGCCGTTCGCGTGCGACCTGTGCGACCGCCGCTTCGCCCTGCGCAACTACCTCGCCATGCACATGCGCGGCCACGCCCAAGCCGCGGCAGAGAAGCCGTTCGCCTGCAGAGAGTGCGGGGCTCGCTTCGTTCGCGCGCACTGGCTCAACGCGCACCTCCGTGCGCACAAGCGCGGGCGCGCGTCGGCCGTCGCCGCAGGCAACAGGCCCGGGAAGACCCAGTGACGCCGGCGCTAGTGTTTGCACGTTGCGTGCGATTATTATGTGAGATGGTTCCCTAGGCGACTGTCTCGTGCGATACTCGCATGCGACGTGGGTGGGAAATGAAAATCTCCGCCGGAGACGACAATCACATGAAAGAAGGGCTAATATATAATATCGAGTGATTGCGCAGTGGAATCAGATGAAGAGGAGTGTGTATTTATATATATTTTCTATAATGAGAAAGCTATTAAATTATGTATATTTTAACTAATAATTATAATTTATCATGTCTTAAGGTCATTATTAATTTCTTGTTTGTTGTTTTTATCTTAGTACACTTTTTCTTTTTGACAACCAAAGAAAAAAATCATGCTCTAGCTGTTTTTGTGTGTACGTTTTGCGTGTATTCAAAAATGTGAAAATGTGCATCGTCAAGTCCTGTATTTTGACTGACTTCATTAAAAGTATTCCTATATTTTAACTAATCATGTAAACTAGTTATTGGTAGAAACATGACTTAATCATGATCTGTTTTTTATTGACTGTAGTATTCATGACCAATTAACTTCATACAGTTGCTTTAGCATAGGCATAATGTAAGTTTGCGATTGTGAGGCCAGAAAGTTCTGGAGTTTTGTTTTATAATTTCTTAGTAGTTCAATGAGAAACTCAATATAACTTCATAAATGTTCGTAAACATCAAATGACTTGACATGTAACATTTAAATCTCAGGGTTTTGCAAATAAATTTTCTAGTTTTTCAGTAATATGAAATCAGTGGAATTTATCTTAGTGTTTACTTGATCAAGAAGAAATAATTCCTGTTTATCTTAAAGTGAATAGAATTTGTGTACAACGTGTAATTATTGATTCATTGTTCCTTAAACATTAATTTACAACTGTCCAGAACACCTTATATAAATACATAGATTATTTGATACTGTTTTCAATATTTGTTCATGTTTTATTATGTTCCATGTACTCTATATATAGTTTGACTCCTGAGTTATTAGTTAACTGTATTTTTCAAGTATCAAGATTTAGAGAAGTTACCAGTTATTCTACTTTCTTGTTTCTGTTTCAAAATAGTTGTTACTTATTGTATTTGTCTTCTAGTAAAGTGTTGAACAAAAATGATGTTCATTTTATTTCATGAATGAAAATTAGTTTTCTGGTGGTTTTTACTTGAAAATTGATTTTCTTTGTGCATTGCTGGTTGAGCATTAATGAATGTATCCTTAAATGTTCATATCACTCCAGTGATGGCTCGTGGTGATACCGTTAGGGTATGCAACGTTTCTCCTTTTTCTCCCTTCCTCTCACCCTTTATCCCCTTCCCCTTTTTCTCTCTTTCGTTCACACAGCCATACATTGCATGCATGCATGCATGCATTTACACTCATTACATAATGAGAATTAAATAAATCTTATGAAGTCTGAAAGCATGCCGAACAGTTTCTTTTCAGCAACTGTTTCTGTAACGTTTCCATGGAAGTACTATGAACGCTACTGTTAGTAGCACGAACACCCTTCACAGAAAAACGAACTCGACTTCGGTTTTAAAAAACATATTGAAACTTAGCCTTATACATACATTTACGAAGCACACTTTGGTTTTGAATACTTCGAAATGGTTTTGTAATTGCAACTCAATGTAAAATAAAAATATGCATATACTATTCAAATAACATTTGTATGAATGCAACAGCAATGCGTTCGCTTTTCGCGCGTTAGCGCGCGAGCTCATTTAAGTGGTGTGCTATCGTACACTTCCTTCTTTCGTTGTCACACTTCTCTTAATAACTTGCGCTAGCCGAGTATTCTATCTTCAAGACATGTGAAAGCACTTCGAGATTGCCACTGCTGGCGCAGTAGTACTGGCATCGCCGGCAGAGAGCTCCATCCGTCCAAAAGCCTCCATCCCCGCAGCAGCCAACAACATCGTTTCCTCGTTTGCATATTGTGTGCTCCGGCTGGCTTTCACGAAGGGCATCGGCGGCGGACGGGCAATCAATCAATCACAGCTTCCGAAAGGCACGTGACTTGAAATATGTTTCTGTATCAATGCTCTGAGAGAATTCCCCACATGTTTAAGAGAAATTTCCTGAATTAATTTGGGTGTGCACATGCGAAGAATCACGAGCTGCCACTGTATCACCCTCAACTTCCTATGCCTTTAGATTTTTACACAATGTATCCACAATACTTGAACATTACACAAGTGTACAGTGTCGGGATACAAAACAGTTTCCTTTCAAAATTTAAAATGTTTAAGAGGAAACTAGTGGTGGAACAATAGCGCGTACTTTCTCCCATTACTGAAAACCGCTAAACAGTTATGAAATATTGCATTTTTTGCGCTAATAACACCTCATCTAATACATGAAAACGTCCCATACAAAGTGCATGTGAACCATCTTTGCATTAATTTCGATAGTCAGGAACAGCAATATTTTCTTACAATGACAAATGAAACAAACGAAAAAATTTGGCCGTTACAGTTGTCGCATCAAACTTTACAAGCGTTGTCCAAACTATGTGCAATGCGTTTGGCAAAAATGCCTGGTGAATATCAATTCTTGCCAAAAACGTTTATTCCCATCTATATTCAGCTTTCAACTTGTTTATGGGTTAGTCAGAGTAATCATACACAGTTGATCAATAACAAACTAATACTAATAAACTAACTAAATCACTAATGTTCTACGATTTTTAATGAATCAATTTATATTCCCTTTTTGTATTGATACCGCCTCAAATGATACTCAGGAAAATAAAACTTTAAAGATTATAATGTGATTCAGAGTTTTATTTCAAAACAAAACAAAAAATTGTCTGTGGCCAAATTCATCTAATAAACATTTACAGTAGTAAAATGAACCCTTTAACGCTCTACAACCGAGAAACAACAATTTTTGTGTAATAAATCCTTAAATTTTGAACATCTTTGTTTAATTTTCAACTCACAAAATGTTTCCCCGTAAAGCAACCTAATTTTTCTTTAACAAAAATTGATAATCGACATTTTACTACATTACAGTCTTGAAAATTTTGAAAGTATAATAAGGAATGTCTTGCTGGTAAAGGCTGGAATATGCATAAATAAGTTATCTTTTGTTCAGTGAAAATGTGTGTTCTGTACTTCGCAACACGGACAAATAAAAATATGGATTATCAAATAGATTTCGAATCATTTCTAAAAGGATAATTTGTAAACAAGCTCGGCTAAATATAACCGCTTTATCTTGCCACCACCCTCTCGTCGTTCAACAATGAGTTTTTCGAATATCCGTTGCATTGTTGCGCAAATTTCAATTAAGCTTTGCGGTTTGCTTGAAAGAAATACATCAATATAATTAATATTGACATTTTCAATAGTAAATTATAAATTAAATTATTTTTCATTCCCTTTGGATCCATTTCTGTACTTCGAGCATTTTTCTTGTGACCCGAACTTGGTGTACACCTTATTAATTTCAAGCAGACATTTTGCGAAAACTAGTTTTTCAAAAAAATGTACGTAGTTTATTAATGATCTTACTTTTGACAACAAACTTTATCTGAGGCAAAATCTCTATTTTCAATTTTTTAATTTTTTTCAATTTTCGAAAAAAAAGGAGTTATGCCCGAAAATTGTACTACAACCGTATTTTTTAACGTTCCTTACTACATATGTCGAGAAAATTTAAAGAAAAAATTTAGAACGGTTGAGAAAAAAATTGTAAATTTCAACTGAATTTTGTGCAAAAACTACTTTTTTTTCAATGTTTACGACTTTTTTAAAAAAGGTAATTTTGTACAACAGACTTAGTCTTTGAGAAAAAATTATTTCAATTTTGGATTTTCGAACTAAGCAATACTTGAAAATAGGACTCAATATTATAATGATAGAAGACGCTGTAAAAAAATTGTTGTTTTTTTTTATAATTTGGGAAAAATCAGGAATTTCAGCGAAAATGAAACCTGCTCCAGCCAGCAGATTGGTGAATATCAATTTTGGAAAATATCGAGTGAACGGTTTATGCGCTAGCGTTGTGCAGACGTGTTGTAAATCGATGTTTCGGTATCAAGGACGTACAAGTCACAATTCTTACTATACCACGTTAGAAGATTTTTCCTCTCTATTTAGCAACATGATTTATCCACTTTTTCGTTACCAGGACCGGGCAATAGGAGTTTTTGCGTCAAAAATTTGCCATTTTCCGTCGCAGGATTACAATACTTTCTTAGTTAGTTATCCATCATTTTAAAGGTATGTTGGAAATTTTTATTTTCTCTTCTTACGTTAGTAAGAATACACTTCTTACGTTAGTAAGAAGAGGAAATAAAAATTTCCAACATACCTTTTAAAATATCGTGTACGTCAGTGGCGTATGATCAATGTATGCGAGTGATGTGTTACATCCTCTAGTTTTCCATCACTTAAAAATATTTTCAGTAAAGTATTTTACTTTCTTCCGTAAGAATCTCTTTTTGTTTCTCTATTCCCTCTCGCATATTAAATGCGCTGTCCAATAGGTGTTAGTCCCTCGCTGGATGTGACCAGCCGAGAAACAACCCTTGAACGACCTCGCTACGTTGGTGACGTCATTGAACTCACGGCCATGCTGTGTGTGCAAGCAGTCTGCTTCCGACTGCCGGAGATGTGACATTGCACCTCACATCACAGGCTTCTGAGTTCTCATTGGCTCATATGCGAGAGGGAATAGAGAAACAAAAAGAGATTCTTCCGGAAGAAAGTAAAATACTTTACTGTAAATATTTTTACCTTTTATAAACCTAAATGCTCTCTCAGTAACAATTAGAAATATTAATAGTTACTTGATACAAACTAAGATTGCTTTTTTATGTGTACAGCAACCGTTCATACATTATTAGTATTGACATTCTTGTTTATGTGAAAAGTTTATGAGATAACCTATAGTACTCATGCACTTGATATGGTACCACAACATGTACACTATTCACTAACTGCTTATTTTATTCCTATTCAAAATATTTTTGTCCATTTTGTCGTCCATCCCTCAAATCTCAAACTCTGCTAATTTAAGTCAATATACATTCATGGGCAGGGCAGTTCAAGAAGGATTTGTTTAAACATGAATTAAAAATGAAATTTAATGAAAGCATAGGACTATATTTCTTTCACAATATTGTTTATTTTTTTGTAATGTGGTTGATCTTAAAAACCTAACAAGTTATTTAAGAAAATAATTGTTTTATCTTGTTTATTTGATACAATTTCTTTGAAGGCGAGTGCACCTCTTTGATAAAAGGGAAATTCGCTGCAAGACCTAATGCTGGGATGAAAAGTCACGAAGGAGCCACAGTGTACAATGTACCGACACTCAAGGATCCACCTCCACGAAACTGACAGGTTGTTGTGCTTGTGAATCCAAAAGAGAAGGCAGAAGGCTCAATAATTTTTGGGAAGGAAATTATCAGAGAGCTTAGACACTAAATCAAACTATGATAGAAAGAGAACCCTTATATCTTTTGATGTTCTTCACCAAAAAGAAGAAACAATATTGGCAAAGAATGCACGATTGAAGTGAAAAGTGAAGACTGCCATGTTAGGATTGGTTCTTGTTTTACGTCTGCCAGTATTTTTTGTATCAGCAGTGGTTCAGTGAAATTTTAAAGCCAGCGTGTTCAGCCATGATATTGCATAGAAAAAGTTGGAAAATAATATTTTCCCTGGAGTTATTACTAATTCCAACAAATTAATTTATGACTTGGATATTTGCAAGACAACTAGGACTATACTCATAATACATTTAGTTCTATAAATGCTCTTTTGAGCAGGTAAGTAAAAAATCTAGATGTTACATGCAAGCAAGTTAAATTTATTAATAAACAAATCATTGAAAATAAGTTGGAACATAGCTCGTACAGCGTATGATAACCCAGATGCTGCTACTTCAGTTCGTGTTTTATTGTTTATATTAATATCCTTTCCTTTTAATAGTATAAATGAGTTTTACAACTGTACGAGAAATGAAAATAATTATTTGATACCCTAAGCGATTAAATTGTACGAGTGTACCTCTCAGCTCGGTAATAAAGTTAAATTATTTTTCCAACGGGTAGGGTTATGCTTGCTCCACCCTGTATTTTTTCAAGGAGAACTTTAAGTATCTTGCTCGAGAGTAAAAAGATTTTGTAATATATTTGGGACTATCAAGCAAAGTAAAAAGTTAAATGCCGAGGAATAATGTATAATTGTTTCACGGAAGTATTGTGAATTGTTCCACGAATATGTCTATAATGCTGGATAAACCTTTATTCAAAATTTGTTTAAAACATCAACTTCATTGTTCTTTATTTTTATTTTAAACTATTATATTCTATATATTTAAAATATTATATAGGTACATTCAAAGTTACCTTTTTAAATTTCTTAAATAAATTAACAAGCTTCGTTAACAACTTCCCCTCTTAAAATGAAAAAGGAAAGATTGAGAGGAAGGTGGATTTTAACATGCAAGAGATCTTGCACGGGTACTCTAGTATTCCTTATTGTATCATAAGTATTAAACATTTTGTCTCAATTCATTATCCCTTAGATTGTATTCAGAGCTATAAGTATAGAAAAGGTTTTTATTACAAAAGTACGAAAATGTGCAATTGTATGGAAGCTGTAGAGTTCCAGGTCCCGGAAACGGAAAACAACGAAAGGGCCACCACCATACCTCGTCCTTACAGCCGGGATCGTTAAGGCAGGAGTTACGTACCGATCTTGGACGGAAGGACCGTGGTTTCGAGTCCCGCCTCGGGCATGGTTATAGTTGTGTCCGTCCTTTCCCCCTCTATCATCACCACATCATGTCATCTTCACAGTTAAGATACCGTTAAATGCAGTAATGGTCGCCAACGACCTAGATGTTGATGCGACCTTAAATAACAAAAAGAAGAAAAAGTATCGTATAGATCTCGGAGCGAAGGTTCCCGGGTTCAAGTCCCGCCCCAGGCTTGTTTATATTTGTGTTCGTCCTTTCACCCCCCTATCATGTCATCTTCAGAGTTACCATACTGTTATATGCAATAGCGGTCGCTAATGACCTAGAGGTTGATGCGACCTTAAATAACAAAAAATAATAAGAAGAAAATAAAAAAAAATAAAGAAAAGTGTCCGAGCGAAGGGACACGGGTTTGAGTCCCGCCTCAGGAATGGATATGTATATGTTCGTGCTTTCACCCCCCATCAACACCATATCATGTCATCTTCAGAGTTACCATACCGTTAAATGCAATAATGGTCGCTAATGACCTATATGATAATGCGACCTTAAATAACAAAGAACAATCGACTCCCTCCGGCGAGGCCACTTAGTCGACGCACGCTCCCCCTCCCACCACCCAGCCACCGCTCCCGCGAGGCGAAGTGGCCTCCCTCCGGGATGGCGAGTCCAGCGGAGCACGCCGCTCCCACCTGCTCAGAAGGGATGCGGAATCAATGTCGATGTTATCAAAATATCGATGTTTTAAACATCGAAGAATTGAAACCGATGGTTTTTGAACATCGATGTATAAGGTTAGATGTTTTTACATTTTCAATGTTTTGTTCGTGGATGAGAGATTCCCATTATCACAATTTTGTAAAAGTTAAAATAAAAAACAATAACAATGGTACTAAAATCTGTTTGTATTCGATCGAAAAGAACGCAGTTTGTTCTATCTTCATCGAGCAAACTACCACCATTTGCTCGAGATGATCCGGATAGCTTGTAATTTCCCTCGCATTTCCTGTATTTCGCACACGGAGAGACGTTTAAAAACATCGATGGTTGGCGTTTGGTTGATGTATTAACATCGATGTTTTGATTTTGAAATTTGATGTTTGGCAACATCGATGATTTCTTACCTCATCTCTCATCTCTACTGTTCAGACACCGCTCAAGTAATCTCCTTCCTGAGCCAGGCGCACCATACCCCGCTATATACACACCGCACGGGGTATCGTGTCTGCGTGGGTGGACACGGTCTCTGATGGAGAGTCGTAGACGACCACCCGGACTCATAGTCTCACGGAGGCACTCACGCTAACCGTTACACCATCGCAATGTACGGATTCATATGGAAATAAAATCTAACCGTTTGTTCGCAAATTACTGGAAAGTCCATCGGTCAATATTTCTAACAAACCTACGCTGCCTCTCCCCTCTCCCCTCCGCGTAGCCACTGCCGGAGGACGCCAAAGTCCCCCTCGGGGGTGGCCAACCAGGCACACGCCGCCCCTACCGCGCTCCTCTCTTCGGCTCCGTAGTGCCGTCGCCCGGCCACCACCGCCGCCGCCGCAGTGTTGAGGTAGCCCTCCTCCGGGGCTGCCAACCACGCGACGCACACCGCCCGGGAGAAGTCGAATACGTAGCCCGTGATACGGTAGGCGATCATGTGATCTTCGTAATATTCACGTCGTTTTTCCTCGTCGGTGGTCAACCATACAATGACTTCCACGAAGATATCTGAGATTCCTGTCATTATAATCATTTTTACGTACATCCTAATCCTGAAACGAAGAATAGAAACAAGTGTGAGTAAAATAATAATTAGATTGAAGCAAACAATGAGAATCGGAACGTACGCCTTCGCGTCTGCCATTGTAGAGCGCGTTGCCTTGTTGATTTGGGCTTTAGTTGGTCGCGGGTTCCGCCCCTCCGTCTGGTGGTGGAGTTGGTCGTCGTCTCTGCGAAGCACGGAATGGCCTCGCCGCAGGAACTGCACTTTCTTCAGGGTGCGAGCAATGCACACGAAGTTGACGAGGACCAAACCGCTCACAGGGCCGTAGTAGAAAAGTGTAGTGCTGGGCTTTAAAATTCCTACGAAAGCCGAAAATTTCAGATGTTACATAGGCACTTGCACGAATATTAAACAATTAAAAACCGAAAAATGCTAAACGTTGCACGTTACTAAACAACACCACTGTTTTTTTTACTTGTTGCATATTTTAGTTGACACAATGCGTCCCCCAGCCCCGGGGGGCGTTGAGCGTTTTACGCTTTCGGAGTAATCCTCCAATTAATATCAGCGCGGGAGTAATCCTCCGTTAATTCATTTCGTGTTATTTCATATCCGTTGCGTCTCGTCGCAGTCAGTTGTCAAGAGGACCGCCAGGTAGCATCTCCGCGTACACGCCTTCTACTACGCTAGAGCCTCTGCGTCACTACTCAGCGGCCAGAATTGGGAAGGAATGGGATTGGAGTAGAGTTTAGGACACTTCACACGGGTTGGACTAGCCCCTGCGAAGCATGCAAACTCGTTTTGTCGAACCTGGAACCTCAGTGGTAAAAGGCCAGCGACTTCGCCATTGAGCCACGAGAGCATTTAACATAATGTTCATGTGTGTGTGTTAAATGTTTATACTTACGCCATGGTTTTAAAGTTCTTTCGTAATACTAAATTAATATTAAACAAAGAAAAAATATTTTTAGGCAACCACTACTTAAAGCGCTCCGTGAGGGGATACCTAATAGTTGTAATAGTTATGTATGCTCCAAGGGCGTCCTAATGACCGAGCACGTTTTGTCGCCCGAGGTCATTAGAACCAGTTAACGCCGTACATACAATATTTTATTTATTTCGATTTACTTATTTACTTAATTAACTAGATGTTAACTTGACTCGATTTGTCTTTTCACATTTCCCTCCCATAAAACCATTTTAAAATTTCATCTCATAATTCCTTCCGTAAGGAAACATGTAACATCATCTGTTTTCATATTTGCCTCGTAACGGTTCTCCCGATCCAGATAAGTTATGCAGCGTATATCGAACTCCGTATTGAAGATAATAACAAGCTATAACGTATCTGTAAAAAATAAAAGAAACTTTTAGCTCTAGTGCTAAACGTGGTCGGTGCACAAGTATCTGATAAATCTGTGAATGCAACCAAGAAAGCAAAATACTTTTAGCTGACCGGAAGGATCAAAATAACCAAAGAACAAAAGGATGAAAATGATAAAAAAGCACAGAAAGGGACAATGAACAAAAGGACAAAAAGGCAATAAGGCTGTCTAAAAAAGTGTGCTTGACACACGGAAAAGAAATTTTATTTGGCTCGTCGAATTTCGCCACTCGACATATCGGCCTCTTCACGCAACATTTCCTACTCGCAAAATTAAAGATCACTTTTACCACTTGTATAATAAATATCCATTAATGGAGAAACAATTTCATAGCCTACGGAAAATAAACGATATGCAATTAACTGATATTGGGTAAAATATCGAGTCTCTTAATTAAATGAAACCTTAAATGGAAAATTATTTAAATGAATTGAATGCAAAATTAAATTAATGAAGCTATAAATTAAAAATTCTTTCACATTCAGTCAGACTTCCACATATTCTCGCATTTAGATTACAGAAAAGAATTGTACGAATCATAGGCAAATTCCGTCAACGTGATTCATATAAGCTGCTCTTAATTGTGCTGTGTCCCACTATCGCCTCGCCTCGCCTCGCCTCGCCTCGTCATTTAGGAATAGGCTGTTTTTGTTAACCTTTGCTTTTCAAAACTACTTTTAGATACAAACGTTCTAAATTTCACACAACAGAATGCATTTTTATTCAAAAACAAAAAGTTTTAATATGAAATGTTGTTGGGAAAAGTAAAAAGCATCACAATGAGACGTTGCATCGCTTATAAACAATTTACCTCTTGGATTAATGTTTCAGTGCACAGAAACGGGCAATCGAGTTGTAATTTTTGCATGAGTTGTCAATAAGATCCTATGCTCTTTTCATGAAGTGAAGATATCGACACAATCTGACAAAATATGTGAGTCAAGCTTATTGACATTTTTTCTCCCAAGTCATTTTCAAATATTTTAACGATGGGTCTGAAGAATCGGGAGACAAATTTTAAAATTTTAGCCATTTAAAAATGTCTAAAAATTGTAAAAATCTCTGAATAGAATTTCATACTAACCCACTAGAGATAACTACGTCACATGGTTACATCACTGTAGCGTAACGTTCGTAACAAACCAATTAACTGGAATTATTTTTAAACTAACAGTAAATTTATGGCTCATACTCAGATGATCTATACACATCTGAGTATATTCAAAGTTTCCAAATAACATCTCTGTAGATATTCAATATTCTACTTCTAAACAACTTTGTCTTATTATAATATTAGCAAATCGAACACATTAAAGTTTATTGAACTTAATCAATTATTTACTTTCATTAACATACAATACAAATATATGGCATATAACTTGTGACCTTTCAAGTATATTTACTTTAAACACATTACCTAGAAAAGTTGAAAAAAATTAGAAATTAATAGACATTCGCAATTTAACAATTTTACATTTCAATTACAACCTAACTCTTCTTCACAATGGTCAGCCATCAAATTAATAACCATTAATAAACAATATCTTGCGCAAATTAATAACCATTGCTAAACAATACCATTTGTGCCTGACAAAAATTTCTGTTTCCCTCTGGATTTGCTAGATACATTAGGTGCTGCAGTAAGACTAGGTGTACAAATAGAAAAATTAACTGGTCAAAATGTGCTACTACTGTTGAAGAAAAAGCAGAAGCCCTAGCAACACATTTTAAACCATCCTTCTCTAATAACACTTCTCTAATTTCACCATTTTCTGATTATCTTTCATAAGAAATAAATAAATTTTTCTGTATAGTGTCAGAAAGAATATAATTTATTTCACTATCGGAAATTAAATATTTCATTCAAAAATCTTAAAAATGAAAGATCCCTAGCAATAGAAAAGATCTCTAATATTATAACAAAAAAAAAATTACCACTAAAGTAATAAGCTCATTCACTTCAATACACAATTCTTGTTTAGGAATAAACTATTTTCCTAAATCCTGAAACGGAAAGTTCTGCGAACTAACGTATTTACATTTAAAAAATCAGCTTACCCAGATCAAACAATTAATACCCTTTTTGCCAAAGATTTGTTATAACCAACATGAATTGCTGTTAACTATTTAAAACTGTACATATAATATTAAAATTGTTAAATATAAAAATTCAAATTATAAATTTTATACTAAAAAGTAGATAAATTACTGTATATAAGTTAAAAATACCTGAATGGATTACCCTCTGTAATATTCTTGTATAATTGTAAAATTTTAAAAATGTAATTTCCACATGTAAAACTATTATATGGGAAAGAAATAAGTATCAAAAAAAGTCGCAGCGGTAGACAAAACGTCGTTTGCGCGAAAGAGGGGACCTCGCCAGAGTACAAGTTTTCTCACGTTTCCAAGATAGATCAGTGATTCCGGTCGCGTCGTCTGGTAAGGTTATTAGTCCCGTAAGTGTAGTGCATGCCTTCTACCGCTGAGAGAAATGGCGGTAATATTTCCCCGCTGGGTGGCGAATCCGGCTCCGACCTACACGTCGGCTCGCGGGGATTTCCCCAACGAGGCGTCTCACATAGCGGGCACCTTCCCAGCTGGGACAAGCTCTAAGCACCCGACTGTCCCCCCGACGTGTGGTTTCCGTACAAATGACAGGTGTAAGGCAGGAGTTTACCGCCATACTTCTAACTGAAAGTGCGGTCGGGATGTGCATCAATTATTCAGTTTTTAAACGTGTAAAAGAATATTGCATTAAAGTTAATATTTTTTTCTACTGAATTTTTTGAAAAAGTTATTGGAAATCATTAGAGAAAACCGATTGTTAAAAAAATTGAATGTCTGCACTAATATATACCATAATATTACTAAAAATTAAAAACAAACCTTACCATAAAAATAATTTCTTTCATCGAAACACGTCCGCGTTTCCACCAGTGTAGGGTTGTACCACTTCCGGAAAATATGCTTCCTCTCGTACGCGTGGACGTATAAACCGGTCATGATTACCGGCAGCCCCCACGCGAAGGTAGAGAGCGCTAGAAACCTTTTCCAGTTTTTGCTGCTACTAGGCCGCGCCACCTGCAACTTACTAAAATAACTCAGTTATTTTCCGATTTAATTATAGTTGCTTCTCACGTGTGATCAGTTGGGACACAGTTATCCACTTGGAAGCCTCAATACCAATAATTAAGTTGTAATACTTAACTGCGCTCCGTGAAGTTATGGAAGTTAAGCGATTCAAGACACCACGAGTTCCAGGACGGGTGACCTGATGATTCCGGTTACTAATGATGCCGTGACCCTGGACGAAGGGATTAAAGGCACTGACTGCGTTGGAAAAAAGACACTGACTGCGCAGAAAAATGACAAAAGATTATCGGAGGATTACTCCAATATGTTCAGTGCCCAAGAATGGATTAAGAAACGTATTGCAAACATGCAACTTTTTTTTAAACAAATCGAAGTTCCCGATTGGATAACTGCGTTCATGTGATCAAACGTCAGAAGCCACGCAAATCGGAGTATAACTCCTTGCTTGAGAAGGTCGTTTTATAATTATTTACTTTCGAGCAAATATTACGAGGTCTTTTTTAAAATGTATTATTGATTTTACCGGCATTAGTGGTGTAGTGGATATCATGCCGTGGGGATTTCAACGACGTGCATGTGGGCGCTTGTGGACATGTAAAACAGATTCCAGGAAAGGCACTTGGCCAATCTTGGCAAAATTCATTACTCTAGCAATTTAGCACCAACCAGAGTTTCGATTTGAATTACTGGAAGCGATTGCGGGTATTATATCTTGGTCTTGCGCTATCTGATAGTCAAATCAAAAGTCAAAATTGGCGCACTAGCACCCCCAGGTAAAGCAATGGCAAACTACCCTAGGTATACTAGCTCAGGATAAGACCCACAAGAAGGCGTTAGGGTAATCTCTCTCTCTCTCTCTCTCTCTCTCTCTCTCTCTATATATATATATATATATATATATATATATATATATATATATATATATATACAGGGAGTGACTTCATTAGGGGCTTCTGGAGACTAGTAATCAGTGTACGGCATTAAACGAAGAAGGTTATTGACTTAATCTCCATGACATGGTTTGTAATATTTTAAATTATTTTTAGTCATTTTTGAAGAATTCGATTAGGGTTGAAATATCAAAAGTAAATAAATATTTGAAAAAAAATAGCATTGTAGTGTCTGTTTTAGAAATCAAAAAAGTAGGAATAATTTTCAAACATTACAAGATAACAGATTTTAACCTATTCCCAAGAGCCTCCTTTTACTTTTCCGAATATGTAGTATTTTAAGTAGAAATTTAAGGAAACCCCTAAAATTCGGTGTCAGATTCAATTATTATTTTCAATTGATTCAAAAACGTACCAAATCATCAATATTTTTTAAACATGTACATAATATTTCATATTAGTAATTTTCGACGCGTGGAGATTTTTAGAGTTAGAGGTGTCAAAGATTTCGTTACAAACTCGGGAACTCAAAAAATGAAACAGTTTCCATTATTACTGAAGAATAAAAACGTTTCAACAATACAAACATTGTGTTATCCTGTTATTCTCATACTGCGTATACCAATTGAATTCATGCATTTAATGCACCACTGCTTTCAATGCAGCCGACATCATGCGATGGGAAGGTTCCAAGGAAGAGGCCGCGCGCAATTAAATATTTGCTGTCACGTTTTAACAAAGCAAAATAAATAAATAAATAAACATAACTAAAACAGCAACTTGTTTACATTATTTAAATGTAACTGTTGTACTGTATATACACAAGACTTAGTTATTGCAGTATTCTTGAAGACTGTTGTGTTAAAAAATTTAATTTATTGCAGTGTTATACGAGAGTATTTGAATTGTTGCGGAATAGATTGTCACAATATGCAATTGGGTTCTTTATATCATTGACAGTTATTGTTTATATATTGTTGGACCTGAATAATTGTTTGATCTAGACCATGTATTGTTTGGTCGAGACAACCAGATTTTCGACACAATTCAGTAACTAAGCATTGACTTGACACAGGACATAGTTTTTATTTTGAAAACTTTAGTATGAACCGGCGGCGACGGACTGGCGTATCGGACTGTCCAAGTTGGCAGGTTCAAACCCTATCGATACCGTGGATTTTTAAGGGCGAAAAAATTCTTCGTCTTCCATCGGAGAGGAAGTAAAGCAGGTTGTCCCATGTTAGTAGATTTACTTGCATGTAAAAGATCCTCAAGCCTAAATGACGCCTCTGAGCTAAATTCAGATTACCTGTTTCGTCGCCCATGAAATACCTCCTTTCACCGCTAGTTGGTGAAAGGAGCGTAGCGAAATATGCGTGGTAAGACGGAAGTGCGGGTCTAATGGCCCGAGTCTCGCCACGAAAAATAAGGCATCAATTCAATTCAATTCAATGCATTGGAGACGTAGATACAATTCACACCTGTGCCTAAAAATCGTATATATTAAATCCCATTTAACTCTGAACATCATGATAGAAATGTCGACATTTACGAAAAACTACGATAATGTGCTTGTAAATTTTAAGCAGAAGGTTTCGCCAACAGGATACATTTTTACGGAATGCTCCAATTAATGCATTTTTACAATATTTGCCCTCGATGACAGCACTTCTTTCTCCCCGTTATGTCTCTTCCCCCTTTCTTTCACCCCTTAACACAAAGTCTTATCGCTACAGCTATGAAAGCCATTTAGTCAGACCTGGCCGACATGAAGCGGCCTTTGGGCCTTATGTTGACTTCGGTATTTTTCGCAAGCTGGTACTTGCTTTTCTTATATATTTGTGAATGTTTTGTTTGGCAATTTGTTTGGTTATATAATTGAGGCAGTATTTATGTGTATCTTCCCATTCAATTTAGCTGGAATTTTGAAGTGAAAATTAATAGTAATGCGCGTAAAACCCGTGTAATTTTGATGAATACGAAAATGTTATATTTAATTCTATTTTTCTAACCAGTTTCATTTCCTTGCTAGCGGTATCAAGAATGCTAATTTGAAAAATTAATGAAAACTCATAAGAATTAGCACTCATTTTGCTTGTTGCAACCCATTGTTGTAACACCGCACTGATAAAAGAAGGCGATAATGAGGATCTTCTTTTGTTCGCGTTAATAGAAACTAATACAGTAAAACATAAGACCGTCTTGACTTGTTTCTTTATAGAGAGTTGCCAGAAATTCAACATTTTACTTAAGTACAGTATTTTCGCTATAATTTTGCTAGTGAAACAAAGGACCCTCCTCACTATGACATTCCAAAGATAATTCAAGAAATTTAAGAATGAATGACAGTCTTTGCCGGGTAATAATCCTATTTTCGTTCTCTAAAAACCTTTCCGTTTTCGCATTGAACAGGTTTCCGGCTTGTAGAGATCATTTTTTACGTACAAAATCGTTCCGTTCTGAGTTTTTTGTCCGGGATGGTAGGTTTCTGTCATACAATAGTACCTCCTTCAACAAGTTGTACTCAATTTTATTTTCGCCTATAATACGCATCACGCATTGTTGATACATTTATGTAGAAGGTGAAAACACTGAATTCAATGGCAGTGAGCTGCTTTTGTTTAAACATTTGAATTTAAAAAATATGTGTATTTTTCACACTTCGTTGGTTAAAGAATTTTTAAAATGGAAGTAGAAGTGTAAGACAGAAATTGTCATATTAAATTATTACATAGCTATTAACAATATCGCGATAAAGTACGTGCTGTTGTACCACCCAGTTTTTCTGATTGGACAAGTTTGTTTTTGTATGAACGCTCCTCGATTCTAATTAGAGGAAAAACAATTAAACTTGTGCATAGATAGCATAATCACAGAACCTATACGTTTCTTCAAGAAAGAAAAACTTTAACACGAAGTGAAGCGGAAATTGACGAGATTGGCTTCATTGTAAAGTGATAATGGTAGTAGAAGTAAATGCTCATTTTCATAATATTAAAGTTCTGTACTCATGTCATAAGAATCAATAATTAATACAAGCATCTTTATTTGAACCAGTACTTGATTATCTCTTGAAAATTAATTTACAGAATGGATGTATGTGTATGAATGTGCGTGTATGTGTGTATTATATCCATGATATAATGTAAAATTTAACATTATGCAAGGAAGTGGGGTTATGGTAACTTCAAAGTATTTAAATAGATAAAAATATATGATGACCACAAAAGATAATAAATTGCCAGGTAGACTTTTCTGCTTGTTCATAACTAATATTTTGTATCCAATTCAATAGATGATTAGACACTTGAAACACTTTCAATGTCCATGTACATTTTTGAAAGGGAAAAACCTCATGATAAGGGAATTTGGCAGTATGTGAAGGAAGTTGATCTTTCTTATTCAGATCAACACAATTACAAGTGAAATAACAAAATAATTAGGTATGGAATTTGTTTTTGTGTAAACGGCGAATTGTTATATAGTGGGGTAACTATATCTTACTGGAGGAGTAGGAAACAGCCTAAATGTTAAAAAATGATAATTATTAATGAAGTGATACAAAGGTAAATTTAGTGTATGAAAAAAGAAAAGTGTTATCGAGGCTCATTATGAAATTATTGTGTTTGAAAATATACATTTTGTAGTATTCATTTTATCAATTCTTTTTCAAACAAAATGATACACTGATATTTGAAAGAAATTTCAAAAATGGAATCAGAGCAGTGATAAATAAATGCTGCAGTGAAAATGATAAGAGAGTTGAGTTACTTACAAACTCAGAAAAGAATTGTGATTTTATGTCTCTGATTTAGGCAAAGGTTTGCTTACGATTAATTGAATAACTATTTTCTAAGAAGTAACAAATTGAATAACTGAAATTCTAGACTACTTTTTTTCAAACTCTGTACTGTTGAGAATCGTTTGAATATATTTGAAAAGTTGTAATTATAAAAACATTACCTGCAGTCTAATTAATATAAATATTATTTAATATAGTGCAATTTATTATAACTTCGTCGTAGAATTTCGTCTATAGATGAAGTATTTTTATCTGAGCTAAATATTATTCAAATAGCCTTTCATATGACCAGGACTGTGTTAATGATATTGATATGACAGGTTAATTAAACTGAATACAAAACTTTTAGATAAAGTTACATGATATTCCATCAAATGCAAAATCATATCTAAATAAATGTTTTTCTCAACTGATTATCGTTTTGAATGTTGAAATGCATTGTGAATATTGCACTGTACTACCTATACCATTTTATTCTTAGATAAAGATTTAAACATCAAAATACACTTCACTCTTTAAAGATATGGTGTATAAGACGATTTTAATTGCATTAGTCATGATTTTATAATTTAAATATCTCAATGTAAATATATTTATTCATCATCAAATTGGATTAGACTTTATCTAATTTTATAGTAATTGTCATGTTTGTTTTATTTCAACATTTTTCTTTAACGATACATTTTACGGTTAAATGTAAATGTATAACTGTAAATTGAAATGTTGGTATGAGTGAAAAGTGAGACTTACTATTACATAAGTATATTTCAAAACAAATTTTAAAACATGTATTGTTAAACTGTTCTGTGAGGTATGTGTAAGAGTTTTTTATGTGAATTTACGTATCTTCAAGTGCTAATATATCAAAGGAATTGAAAATTTTCCTATTAGGCCTCATTTAAATTACAGAATATCACACACAACACTAGCCACTAGAAAATTCTCTATAGCATTTTTGAACATTTTACAGTATAGTGAAATTCCTTTGATTACTCTAAAACATTCATTTCATTCGTTACTCCTTTTGATTTGATTTCCTCTAAAGCTTAAGATAGTATTTAAACAATTTCTATTAAGCAGAAAACTGAAATAGTTGTCATACTAAGTATTGTTAAGTTACTGTTGAATTACTGTAATAAATCAAATTTCATATTACATTGAAATAATAGTGAAGTGTAGTACAGTACCAGATGCTGAATCTCTAGTTACCTCTAGTGCCGAATGCATGATTCTTTCCATTTAATTTTTTTTTTCGTAATATTAAATGCTGATAATTCAATTTTTTTGATCTAATATATTTAAATGTGCATACCAGCACATATACACCTATGTTGTTTCCTGTTCCTAAAGATTAAAGCAGAGTTGACATTATGTCTAATACTATAATGAATAATACATCTAATACATTGTAACACGGGTGTAATTGGGAAATAACATCACGCGTAGTACATGTACGACGAAATTTGAATGCATCGAGAATGTTAGAATCCAAGGAATACGCGCAGCATAGCAACGAACTAATAAACATGTAGGCGTGCCGTGATGGATGCAATAAGCGAATAGTATTGTCGAGGGACGGCACGGCCTGGTGGTATTAACATGGAATTGAAGAGGAGAAGGCGTTGAAAATTTAGCTCAGGCAAGCAGAAAGAATTTCTCACTCTCACGGAAGCATTCGAACCGATCGGATGGTAATGAATATTGCGACATATATATGGCGTAGTAAACTTGTGTTGTGAGTATATATTGGATTGAATACTTCGTAATAGAATAGGCTAAGCAGTATTGTTTATTTCGGTTTAAGTTTGTATTTTGTGTATTTGTATTTTTGTATTTTTAATTATGTAATTCGGGAATTTTTGCATTTTAAATATTTATACTTTGTGTTCGAGGGTGTACATGATAATTTCGTAGGGGGAAATTATAAATTATTAATTTGAAAAGAAATAGTAGTCGCTAATAGGAATTGCACCCGAAACCCAGTAGGGGAAAGTCGCGCCGCGATAACACTGAAGCATATTTAGGAATTTCTGAATAGTTAGAAACAGTCGGGAAACATTTAAAGTTTACACGGACGATAGGCACGTGAACTACACCATAGGCGGACTCAGAACATCCCCTTCTCATCCCAATTTATTCTACTCATTGAATTTCAATTTCTTTTTGGTAGGTCTTTGCTTCTCTTTATACCTTCATAAAGTCATCCAAAATTATTTGTAAAATTTCTTGTCATTTAAATTAAAATAGGTTTCAATAAGATCATCTTCATTTTGTAATTTCTTTATTGTGTTAGGCATCTGCATTTTTAACAGCATTGCAAAATTAACAATTTGTTTTCCTCAGCCTGGCTGGCCCTTTTGACGCCTGGTACCTCGGGTCTCTACAAGATACATTTAAATATACGGCATGTCACCGCTACGTAATTTCATTTCAATGAAATAAGCAGCACCGAAACTCCGCCATTTTTAACCGTTTAGGGGGGGGGGGGATCTTAGGAGGAAACACTTATTCACTACATGTTAGAGGAAGTCATTCACAGAAGGAACAAGATTTATCCGCTTTTCCGTTACCAGGCCCCGAAAATAATGTTCTGTCAAACAATCGCCGTGTTTCGGCGCACGATTACAACAGTACTCTTTAATCAAATTTTGAAAGGTGATGATTTTTTTTTACGTAATAACCCTTCTGATAAAAAAATAATGACTATGTAATTTGGTTCTTTTGCTCCTAGCCTACTTGACAATTTGACGAATAGTGTTTTCAAGAAAATTCTTCGATGCCACTTCAAAACTCTTCACTTACCCGAATCCGAGCGCCATGTTCATGCACAGTGCGGTTAGCCAGCAGTTGGCTGCCATCAACAGAAAATACATCGTGAAACCTGTGAAATGAATAAAAGCATACATTATGAGAGGTTGTACTTGTTTACTGTTTACAGCAATGTCATAATTCTAATATTTTTATTTGCATGAAAATAATGTAAAGTGCTTTAATCCTTGAGAAGAATACTATACTGTAATATCGCATTATTTACTATGTGTATAGTCTATCACACGCTGCCCCGTAAAGTTATTTTGTCTTATGAATTAAATGCATTTTTACTCTCTCAAATACGTACGTATATATGGAATTAATACACGTAGTACATTGAAATTTATGTAACACTGTGGCAAAAAACGCTGATTTTTCGACAAAAACTCTTATTGAGGGACCCTGGTGCAGATAAGGAGAATAAATCATGTTCCATTATTTATTAAATTACGTCCTCTAACACGTTATGTTGTCAGATTTAATGAATAGTGGGATCTTGATACAGTTTTTTTTTTTTTTTTCCAAAACGTCCGCCCGTTGTTTGTCTGTCCGTCTGTGAACGATCGAAGCGCCTACATTATTCGTACGAATGTTTTCGAAAACGAATGTTTCCTAGTCGATCTGGCCCGACTTGGCTGCGAGTATGAGAATCATACTTTCTTGGGTGGGTACTTACATTTTCTTTTTTTCTCAAAACAGACCACCAATTTTTTTTTTTTTGTAAGAATACAGTTAAATACACTTATAAAGATAGGCTGCAAGCTATTCGACCTTCGCTGGGCGGAAAGGGGCGACAGCCAAACGCTCAGTATTTCTGAATTTGTTTCTGTGCGTCGAGAGACATCGCTCGGCGAATGTTAGTTTCGAAAGCTTACGTAAAAACAATACTGCAAATTCCGTGGTGGTGGCAGATTTCTCGTGGTAATCCATAAAGAGAGAAAGAAAATAATTGTCCACAATCAAAGTTCTTTTGGTTTGGTTTTCTCCTTTCTCGCACAATACTGCAAAGTTATGATCTCAAAAATCTATTGTAATTAAATAGAACTCCATATTTGCTGAATAGATTGGCTAATCGAGGGAAAAATTAGTAGTTGATTTATGAAGACCGTTTATTTCTCAAAAGTAAAAAACTTCGATATCGAGAGAGATGGCTCAGGGCATCAACTGCAATTGATGTCACTGCAGTCCCTCTGACCGGGAGGTCTGAGGTTTGAGTTGGCAGGATTTTCGTCACTGGCTTGTCGGCTAGGTCGAGTCCAGTCGTTCTAGTTTCCGGCTGCTCTGATCGGTAGTTTATCGTGGTTTCTCCGATCGACGCCAGGCGAATACCGCAACAGTACCCTACCAAACGGGCCACGGACCGCGCGCAATCTTTCCTACCTCTTTCTAGTCCTATCCTCTCCTCTCCTACACACACGCTAACATGCACTACACAAGCACACATACCGGGAGACAGGTCGGGAACTTAGGGGTTGTCCTGGCTGGGGCGGTGCCCCGCTTATGGGAGATATCTGGTTGAGGGAAAACCCCACTAGCCGACGTAGGTCGGCGCCGGATTTCGCCATATACCTTGGGAAACATCACCGCCACCATCCAAGCAAAAACATACTCTTACGAGACAAACGACCCACGTAGTTGGCGTGCCCGAAATTACTAAAACAATCAAACAAATGACACATTCTTTAAACGGTTTTCTCATTTCATTCCTTAGGAAATAGATTCTTTCCTTTCAATTCGATTCTAGAATCGACTCTAAACTTTTCGATTCTGTAATCGATTATTTCACAGGAATCTAACGTCCCTACGCATCGGTTCTCTAACGCAGCGACAATACTGAAGAGACCGGTGCGCTGGTGCCAGCTGCAACGCGTCCGTCGGCTCAGCCTGCGTTCATTGCATGAGTCACTTCCCCCTCCTCCTGGAGCGATAAGGGTCACCCGAGAGCCCCGGTTGCCGTTTCCCCGATCGGTTACTTGACACGTTCGGAGACAGTGGGCAGGAAGCTTGGGGAGCACGTTGGATTAGGCATGTCGCAGCGGTAATAAAATTGATGAACAAAATTATGATACCCATGGTGATAATACGTCGTCCGAAAACCATCGATGTTTTCCAACATCGACGTACAAAACTATTGCAGCCAATAGACAAGATAATGTGCGACTTAACAGAGAAAAAAGACGTTTTTCGTTGATATCTCGCATCCGACAGATCATAACTTTGGTAAGGCTGAAAGAGAAGACAAGATTTATCCTTTTTTTCTTTACCAGGGCCGCAGAATAAAGTTTTTTTTGTCGCAACTTTCTTCCCGCTACATTACAATAATTTTTCTATACCGCGTAACGAGAAAGTAAGAATCATCAAATATACGCCCTTGGCTGTATGGTAAAGAGAAATATATTGCCTTAATTCTGTTGAAGTTCTAACTTGTCTGGTCAATAAAAACTTAAAAACGAATGTACCAAAATTACAATGAAACTCGAATGCAATAATTCTTAAAACACAAAAGTATGTAATTTTGGAAACATATCGAATCGATCGCATGGTACTGAATGTATCATGAGCGGTAAATTACGAATTGAATTGAATTTGCCTTATTTTACGTGGCGAGACTCGGGCAATGAAGCCCGTTCTTCCGTCTGACCACGCAAATTTCGCTACGCTCCTTTCACCAACTAGCAGAGAAAGGAGGTATTTCTTGGGCGAGAACCAGGAGATTTGAATTTAGCTCAGACGCGTCATTTAGTCTTGAGGGTCTTTTACATGCAAGTAAATCTACTAACATGGGACAGCCGGCTTTACTTCCCCTCCGAAGGAAGGCGTAATTTGTATGTGGTGTGCCAAAGTTGATCCACACTCCTAAGATAACCGGATGTTGAATCTCCCAAACCAAAGTAAATAATAATATTTATTATTATTATTATTATTATGGACAAAAAGGCCAAGGTCATCTCAACTAGCCAACTGTAAGTTCGCTGAAGAATGGTAGGAGAAGTTGGGGAAGGCCCTATTTTTTTGGTGCATGCGTCGGCCCTCTCTCCGTGTGCAAAATACGAGAAAAGGATACTAGGAGGACACCTGAGTCATCTTGGAAGAGATGCAGTGGTCTGTCTGCTCAACGAAGGGAGTACTAACAGCGGCCGCTTAATTCGAACACGAAAACTGACATTGACACCACCAGTTATATCATATTTTAACTTTTACAAACATTTTCGTCATGGGAATCATTTAGAAAGAAAACATCAGAAAAGTAAAAACACCGATCATTAAAACGGGGAGAAATGACTCAGGAGAAAAGGATACTAGGAGGACACCTGAATCATCTTGGACGAGATGCAGTGGTCTGTCTGCTCAACGAAGGTAGTACAAACAGCGGCCGCTTAATTCGAACACGAAAACTGGCATTGACACCATCAGTTATATCATATTTTAACTTTTACAAACATTTTCGTCAAGGGAATCATTTAGAAAGAAAACATCAGAAAAGTAAAAACACCGATCATTAAAACGGGGAGAAGTGACTCAGTATATGTATGCTGCATTGCCTCTTGAGCGGGAGATTCTAGGGTCGAGTCCCGGCGGTGGCAGGATTTCGACACAAGCTACATAGCTAGGTTGGATTCAGTCGCTGTCTGGTGGAGAGCGGCCAGCTGTTCTGTTCGGTCGTTTTCCGTGGTATCTCCGTTGAACACAAGGTGAAGGCCGGGGCAGTACCCTAACAAACGGGTCACAGACAGCCCACGATATTTTCTTCCTCTTCCTTGTCCTATCCCTACCCCTTACTTGCACACACTAACTCTGACATGCACTACACTACCACAGGAGACAAGCCAGGAGCTTAGAGGTTGTAGAGCTTGACCAGTCAGGAGCCACCACTGAGGCGGTTCATCGTGGTGGGAGATACCTGGTTGGGGAAATCCGATAGCCAACAGGTGTGTCGGCGCTGGATCTCAGCGTCCAGTGGATGATCATCGCCACATCGCGAGGATAAAACAAGCATTACACTTACGGGAATAATGACCCAATCAGTTGGCGCGTCCGGATTCACTAATCAATCGATTTATCATTAGAGATCAAGAGACCCTTGAAAAGAAGGCATAGATCTTATTTTAGATGACTTTTGATTTTCGAAACTTACAAACGTAATGCAAGAAAGTATGTGGTGTTGTAGATCCACTATTTCGACAATTACTCACCTATTTTCAGGCACACGTTTATGAGGTGGTTGGGTGGTCCGCGGAAAACCAAGTCCACCTCATTACTTAATGTCATGAAGTAGGCCACCTGCCCGAGGTTGAAGGCCAGGAGGCACACGGCGTGGCAGGCCAGGCACCAGCCGTGTTCCTTGACTCGCATGCTGCTGTTGCTTGCCACCGAGAGCAGGGCAACCGCCAGCAGCGACGCGGACACGAAGCACAGGGGCCTCATCAGCCAGTAAATGCCCCTGCTGATGCGCGACTCCTCGCAGTAGAACAGGGTCTCGCGCAGAGTCTTGTCCTCGCGGCGTTCGTAGTCGAAGCACGTCTCCCAGGAGGAGAAGAAGAAGTGGTGGAAGCGGTCTCGCAGCAAATAAGACGCCCACGTGTCTTCGGGTGACAGGCGCAGGGGGTGGGTGGATGACGAGTTTCGGGCAATGCACGTCATGAAGTCAGCGCTACGAGAGCAGATGACAATGTAACAGAATTTAAAAAAAAAATAAAATAAAATAAAAACTAGAAAATAAACTTGTTTTTCTCCCAGGGGTTAGTTTCAAGCTGTACCACTCGCTCCGCGTGCCATTACATCCCCTCTCTACCATCATCAGACTCTCTACTAGTATCTAGGGTCATCTAGGGAAAATGGCTCCAAATGTGTTTTCATTCGAGAGATGACAAGACGCCCCCTTTCTGGTTGTGTAGGAGGTAATTCAAAAATACGCACGCATTAGTTTAGCATTTTCAAAACATCTCCTTTTTATCGCATCTGGTAATACATACTAAAAACTTGCTGAGTTGAATGCCTCATTTCCAATTCTCTCCTGCTACTCATATACTGAGTTACACAAATGTAATTTCACTTTTTTGGTACAATGTTGTAGAGTATTAAAATGCGATCTCTCTCTCTTTTATATATATATATATATATATATATATATATATATATATATATATATATATAAAATAAATTTTTAAATTAATCTCTAATTTGAAGACAATAAATATACTCACACAAATGCTGTGAGAGTAATTACTTACGTATTATCTTTGAGTGACCTTCTATTTATTATTAAAAAAGTTTTGAAAGTGGTTAGACGAAAGAGCTGGTCAGATGGCCTTGGTACCAATAAACACTTTTATTTATTTAATGTTTTCTTTGATATTCCTGTTTAAAAATAAAGTGGGTGTATAAAGTAGCTGTAGTTCCGATTTTCTTTTAAATTATAGTTAACATCTAATTTCGAACATATTCTACACAACCAATACCTCCACAGATTTCTCTCTCAATGAAATTTATAGCTATATCGTTAATCACCTAAATAAATTTTTTTAAAGCAATGAGTATTAGTGATTTTACCGGAAATATGACATTTTTTATCAATATGCAAAGAATTTTTTTTAAAAAAAGAGCTGTCCCTTTTTTCTTTTTGGAATTTGAATAATTGTTCTAATGTACTTAAATTCTAATTAGAGGAAGAAATGATCGTCTATGTGTAAGTTGGTAAAAAGATAGTTACCTCTTATCACTGACAATTGTAATCCGTTTTCGAACAAATTCATTATTTCATCTCTTATCGATGTTTCGGAGCTTGGTTAGCCTCATCATTAGGCAAGTCAGAAATATTTTATTTAGTATATTAGCATAAATATTAGATTTTCGTCATGACATATGGTGATATAATTAAAATGAGTTAAAATTAATACAATTTAATTCATTTTCTAAAATTTACTCATATAAGACAACAAAAGTGAAATAAGGTGTTTTATAGAAAAAGAAACACAATTGATTGTCAATAACAAGATGAACTTACAGTTTCGCCTAGTTAAAATCTACTGCTAACGAAACATCAAGCCGAAAATCAGACAATATTTTTCATGGTGGTGGAGCATATTTGAATCTGAGCAAACAAAAACGTGTGATGTCCTGGAACTTCAAATGTTGAAAAGCCTAGCAAAAAGGTTCTGAGTTCCGGACATCGATCATTTTTCTATTAATATTATTAGCTGTAAGACACTCTACACACGTCACAATGTTCACGGAATTTGTATGCCTAGAAAGTTGAATTTGTATTTTAAGAACTGTTTCACATCGTTATATCAAAACTGGCAAAATGTAACATGAAACATTTTTGTTAGCAACATTTGTTTTTATGAAGCCTATGCTCTTAATTGTTGAATCTGAGCGAACAAAAACGTTCGATATCTTGGAGCTTCAAATGTTGAAGAGCAAGCAAAAAGGTTCTGAGTTCCGGACATCGATCATTTTTTTCTTAATATTAGTAGCTGAAAGACACTCTACACACGTCACAAAGTTCACGGACAACGAATTTTTATGCTTAGAAAGTTAAATTTGTATTTTAAGAACAGTTTCCCATCGTTAACTCAAAACGCAAAACTCAACGGCAAAATGTAACATGAAACCTTTTTGATCTGGGCTATCCGGGTGACGCCGCGTCGATGGCTGAGGTGCCGACGTTTCGACCGACATATCGCGGTCCTCTTCAGGGCTGTACTGCGCAAGGATGTTGGGCGCTCTGGTTTACATAGAGGTGAGCCAGGGGACGGCCAATCGGGTGCGACTGGGTGGAGGGTGAAAGAAGGCGTGGGAACGGACGGACGGGAACGGCCCGTGCTCGAATAGCCCTGAAGAGGACCGCGATATGTCGGTCGAAACGTCGGCACCTCAGCCATCAACGCGGCGTCACCCGGACAGCCCAGATCATGACTCCGACCGCGGAAGCCTACGTCATCATGAAACCTTCTTGTTAGCTACATTCGTGTTTACGAAGCCTATGCTCTTAATCGTTATACCTGCTTTCGAAGGGGACGTCCGTGGGGAGGACGCCCTTCAGGGACGTATTGTCGGGCGTCCAGTTGCCTCTGGCGTCGCTCTCGCACTCCCAGAAGTTTCCGTGCAGCTCCACCACATGCGCGGGACGGCAACACTTGATGATGCACTCCTCGTAGCGAAAGTCCGACTCCGAGTACAGCGCAAAGGGTGACAAGGGCTCAAGAGCTGCGTCCACACAGTACGTCAACGAATAGACTGAGCGTCTAGGGCTGGAAAACGTGCGCGGTTTGTTTATCGTTCTGAAAACGCCGTCTCTTTCAAATGCGACGCGATTGCTCCGCCAGTAGCCGATGCCTTGAGCGAGTTCCTCCGACTCGTTCCATTTGACCGCCTCCTCCACCACCCGTACAGACGCCTTACGTTCCGGGAAATCGTAGATACGGAACGCATTTAAATAAATTATCCGTAAGTGGTGGGTTGAAATGTTGGGCGGCACCCAGCGGTTCATCCACTGCTGATTTGACGGCTGCACATTTTCAATCACATTGCCCATAACGTTTAGTGACTCGTCGCGTGGCCATGAGGCGGACACGCAATATTGGCCGTTGCCTGACAGCATTTCATATGGGCCGCAACACTTGAAGAGATCCATTTTTTCTTCTCTTTCCGACGCTACCCGCGCCAGAAGCAGCAGTAACACAGCGCAATGCGCCCGCAATATTCTTCCGCTTTCTTCTTCCGACATTGAAGTCGCGAGCACTCGACGGACGCAGGTTCAGTTCCGGTGCAGGCTGATTTAACTCCAAGATATGTCTTCATCCCCAGTCTGAACTAGTCCAAGATATGTCTTAATCCGCAGGCTGAACTAGAGCAAGATGTGACTTGATCTACAGGCTGAATAAGTCCAAGATATAACGATCTACAGGCTGAATAAATCCAAGATGTGACTTGATCTAACGATTACGCAAACGTAATAAATCCAAGATGTGACCTGATCCGCAGGGTAAATCAAGTCCGAGATAAAACTAGTTCTGCCCAATGAATAAGTCCAACATATGACTGCCGGCTGAATTAAGCGCAAGGAACGTCTAGATCCGCAGGCTGAATTAAAACCAAGTTGTGGCTTAATCGCCAGATGGAATTAAGGGCAAAGAATGTTTTGATTCGCAAGTTGAATGTTAAAGTCCAAGATACGTCTTCGTGGTGGTCCCTGGGGCAGCCTAGCACTATGACGTTTCGAAGATTTTTCCCGCAGGATATCAGTTCGAGGCAGGAGAATTTTCTGGAAAGGGGTCTACCCGTCCCAGAAATGTCCCAAAGCACCGTTTGAAGCCTACTTAGGCGGATGACTCCTCATCGGCTGAATCCCTTGAAATGCGTGCACACTTCACGAATGACACCGGTTTAATCCCATCGATTCGTTAACTTCTAGTGTTAACGCAACTTCCTTTCCACATTCCTTTGGTCGACAGAAAACCAAGACTCACAGAAACCGCTGGTTTCCCGGCACTTATTCTTCCGGTCAGTTGAAAACAAATAATGGGCGTTTCATCAACCAACGTATTATGTATAACTAGTTAAAAGTGGCGTCATGAACGCTGTGAACTTCTTCTTCTTCTTCTTCTTCTTCTTCTTCTTCTTCTTCTACCTCCCTTAGATAGACTGTTTTAAAAGTATTTTTATGTACTGAAAATGTCTCAATGTTATGATTAGCTTTGTTCAAATAAGTTCTTAACTGTCTTAAAATGGTTGTTACCTCGACACGGGATAGCCTGGTAATATTAGGAATTGTAATCGCCGTAAAAAATCTTACAAGTGTGGATGATGAGAATACTTGGAATTTACAGCTACATTTCGTACGTTTTTTTGCTAATATGCCAAAAAATATCACGTGTAAGCTGTTCTTCTCTGTGTTTGTGCCTGTACTTCTCTGTTTGTCTCTCTCTCTCTCTCTCTCTCTCTGTTTCTCTTTCTGCATTTTGTCTTTGCCCGTCTATCTCTCTCTCTCTCTCTCTCTCTCTCTCTCTCTCTCTCTCTGTCCCTGACTCTGTCCGTTTCTGTATGTCTGTCTGTCTCTGCCTGTCTGCCTCTGTCTATCTCTGTCTCTGTCCGTCTCTGTATGTCTGTCTGTATCTATCTCTGTCTGTCTGTCAGTCTATCTCGGTCTCTCTGTCTGTGTGACTTTCTCTGTCTCTCTCGCGCTACCTGTCTTGTCCTCCTCGGCCTCGCCCTGCATCACACGTCAACGCCCAGCAACAATGAAGCTCATTGAATGGAAATTGAATTAAAATTAAGCGCTATCTTGTGCTGCAGTGTCATTTAGAAGAGTTAAAACAAAATTAATAACATAAAAACCTTGTGCGTGAAAAAAAAACACGTAGATGAGCCAACTTTCGTGCAGTGAGGGCCCACGGTTCTATTGCACCTCTGCTGCCTCTGGTGAAATATATTCGGAACCTGTGTCTTAGCGACTAGCGAAAACGTATGAGCGTTGTGCATCAACCAGCATATTATTTAAATTATTTATTTTCCGCGTTTGTGTTGTATTAATCTTTACCAAACTTTGCAAGGACACTGTGTCAAAACCTGAAGAAGAGCCTGTAAATATTTCGTACCT